ATAGGGGTTGTCATCCCCATTCCAGATAAGGGAACTGAGGCAAAATTAGGTTAAATGACTATCTCACAGCAAAATGGCAAATCTGTGATTTGAAGCTAAGTCTTTGATTCCCAAATGCATGGTTATAACAGAAGCTTAACAGCCTTTCATATTCCTGAATTCAGAATCTTACAGCTGAGGATCCTAGGATACCCTTTTTGATTTCTCCAGACCCTGATAACTGCTACCAAAAAGTTTACCACCTCACAAGGCAGCCTGTTTGATACAGCTATACTTGTTGGGAAGCTTTCAAATGTTAAATTAAAATCTGTTTATCTGTAACTTCCCTTCATTTGGTCGTAATTGTGCCCTCTGGAGAACTCAAAACAAAGCAGCTTCTCTCCATGAAGCCATTTTGTTATGGAGACAGAGACAACTGCACCCCTTGTCACCACCTTCTTTGCGTTAGTCTGAGTCCCAGGAAGGACTATTCAACTGTTTGCCTCATCAGTAATACAGAAAAGCCCCGAAGTACCACCTATATCTTTCAGAGATTTTGGGTCCAAACTTGGGTAATAGGTTTGATCCCAATTACTCATATCCCTGTGAAATACCACTTTAGCAAACTATCACTCCCCATAAAAGCATAGAATTAATCTAATACAGCAAATAATGGCTAAACATTTATTGAACCTTTTCAGTGGGCTAAGAACCATGCTAAGTGCCTAATATAATCCTCTCCCCCCATTATGAGGCAAGTACTGTCATTAACCCAGCTTTGCAGATGAGGAAACTGAGGCCCAGTTATTCTGAGATCTTCTGCTCAAAATTGCATGTCTTTCCCTATGGGTGTGAGGGGAGGGTAAGAGCAGGATAGAACTTACTGTCCCCAGCATGCGACTTGTTTTTTTCCACCTCTTTTTACTTACACAATGCCTCTCCATTTTGACTCTTTTCTTCACAAGCATTTAATAAACATCTCTCACAGTTAAACACTTATTCTACAGTGATTAGAGTTGAGACAAAATGTGCAAAGAAAGCTCTGTTATTCCCCAAATCTGATCTCTAGGGTCAAGGAAGACTTCAGAGAGGAGGTAGCACCTGATGTGGGCTTTGAAACATAAACAGAAAGAGAGGAATTAACCAAAGGACTGAGTGATCAGTAGACAGTAATTTCCCAGTCGCCCTCCACAATACTTGCTCCAAAGAGATCTGTAGTCAGCCCCCATTTAAGAAATGGGGAGGGTGCTTATTAGAGGATTAATTGTCAACTGCAGTTCATCTGAAATTCACATTATCACGGACTTTCACCTCGTTGGCCGAGTACAGAGTAGAGAGAAATCCAATTGAACAGGTAACCTAGGTGATCATAAAAACCTGTGTGTGCCATTCTGCCGAGTATGAATTTTATCTGAAGGGTGATAGGAAGTCATAGAAGGATTTTAAACAGCCCCAACTCAAGTGCCTCCTTGTGTAAAAGCATTATCTGGCCACCACACTGGGAGGGGAATTTCTTTAACTCACGTGGTTTATATTACTTTGTCCCATCTGCCTTTAGGTTCAGTGCCCTGTCTTATATTTTTTGTATGTTAACCATATAAACAATATGTGCTCCAAATATATTTGCTGTTTGAAGCAAAGAAGCAAAGGGAAAGGAATTATTTGGATTCCCCTTATTTCACAATTCAGTCCAAGTTCACAGATTCAAGTTCACAACGTGGATGACCTAACGAAGTTGTGTAGAGGCAAAAACAAAAACATTAATGTGTTTATAAATATAAATGTGATTATACAACCACAGTTATTCAAATGAAACCTTTATTTTTTCATTGACTTAATTCTATTGAATTCAAAAGTGCTCAGGACTATGGGGAACAGAAAACAAGTGTATATGTTCTACGCATAATGTTAATCCTGGTTGGAATTGATTTATCAAGTTAGTATATTTTGTAAAATATGTGAAATTGCTATGATTCATTAGGTGGGCTAATTCCACTGTCAAAAATCCCAGTCACAGCCCTTAAGCTTCCAAATTTTCATACCTCACCTTGAGAGAGAATGAATAGATTCTACAGAAACCAAACTGGGTTGTAGGAAGAGCCCCACCTCCAGACTAGTGGCTCTCAAAGTGTGGTACCTGGACCAGCAACAGGTTTGTACCCAGGGACTTGTTTGAATGCAGAAATGCTAATATCAGGCCCTACCCCAGCAAGTCTACAGAATCAGGAATTCTGGGGATAAGGCCCAGCAATCAGAGTTTTAATAAGCCCTCCAAGTGGTTCTGATTCAGGAAGCTCAAATTTCAGAACCACACTGCTTCCGATGACTCTGACTGGCTGCCCTTTCCAAAGGAACCTTGGAGAAGGGGCGCGGGGAAACTCTTGCCAATGCTTCAGGAATCCTTGCCTTGTGATCTATTGGTTTGCCTTGCCATTACCCTAATACGGATGGATTGTAAAGCCCTTGAGACAAACTATGAACCAGACCTGTTCCACAGAACTGTGAAGTCAGTTTTCCTTGGCTTTGTCTTTGGTCGTTTAAAAAAAAAATTATTGCTTCATGAGCTACCCTGGTCTCTGAACTTTTCCCTTTTCTAGTAAAAGTACAAATTCCAGCTGGAATTCTTGACCAACAACATCTTTCCACAGAAGTTGCTGTCTTCAATGCTTTGCTGAGTTCCAGAGATAAGATAAATAATTTACCAAATGTAGGTTTCTGATTACTCACTCTATTAGCATTTAGAGCAGAGAGCTGCGGCCCCTGGGGAGTTTGATTCGTTCAGATGCAGCCCATCTGCTTTTGTTTTTTTGTGGGGAGTTTTGCCGGGGGCGGGGTTGCCTGGAAAAACCAGGGAGCTCCCAGCATCCCACACATACTTTAGGGAAGAACTGCCTAAATCTTACGGGTTTTACTGGAAATTCTGGGGAATGCTATTTTCTTATTATTAAAAAAAAGAAAAATACACAGCTGCTAAGACTTTTTTTTTCCTCCCGCTCTCTCTTTTTGTTTAATGCTGAGTGAAAACAAAACTCCACAATTCATTTCAAAAGTTATACAAAATAAGATAGCTGAGAGAGTATTTTCAATCTTGTGCAATTTATTTATCCTAAATTCATGCTGTACATTAAGTAATTTCAGGGAGTTTTATAGAAGGGATTAAGTAGAGCTTCTCTTAAATCAAGTGACACTGGGGAAGAGGGAACAGGCTGGCAGGTCCAAGCATCATTCCTCACTCACAATTTCTTTAGTATAGTAGCAATATCAATAGTGAGAGATGCAGTGGAAGGTTTGCATCTGTATTATTCTGTGGGGTCTTTCCTTTATGGTAAATACATATTATTATTTTATACAGTTCCTGAGAGTAAACTAGGGTACAGAAGAAATCTCAGCAAAAAGCTGATTTTGTGGATTCATTGCAAATGCAGAGAACTTTGAGATAAGCCCAAGGAGCAATATGTTGGATATGTAATACATGCTCTTTTCATTTCAAGATAACTTGATCAGTAACTACTTTACCCCTTTTGAAAAGAAATATTGAACTATGTGTCTGGATGGTATAGTAGTAAATGGGTTTTATTTTTGTAATCCCTAAGAAAGAGAGATTGCTAAGAATTTTGTATTTTCATGGACTTTCTTAGTGCACAGTCAAGATTGCACATCCTACTTGTTGGGAGAGAGGTGTTGTGTATTTTCCTCAGTTCTTGCACGACAAATAATTGAACGGCAGAGACACAGTAGTGAAGCAGAGTAAGTTTTATTTAAAGTTATTTAGAGAGAAAGTGCTGACCACCTAAGAGAGAGAGAGAAGCACCCTGAAAGGTTGGGGATTCCCCCTTTTAAGGATTTTTCAGGAATGTGACAAAGGGTTAGGGGTGTGGACTTGTTAAGTGGTCTCAAGTATCTCTGATGAGACACTAAGTTTCTTATCAGTCCTCTAGGTAATTCTGCAAAATTAGTTTAACACAAGAAATTTACTGCTCTGGTCCCCTCCTAGGATAACAGCTTCAGGTTTAGGAGCATATCAATCAATCAAGACTGTCTGCCCTTTCTCCAAGGTGGGCAGAGTTACTTGTTTGCTAAAGAGTACGCTAAGAATCTTTCTTCTTAAACTTCCTGTTTTTTTGTTTTTTGTTTTCAAAATACAGTTTTGGCTTTAAGATGGGATCCCCCTGTCTTTATTATGCTGTTTATAGCTGGGCCTTTTAGCAGGCTGGAGTAAATCTTACAGTGGAATGATCTAATTGACACAATGAAGACATGGGCTGTGCTTAGTAGATACTTTTCCTTATCTGGGGAATATTCAAACATTCAAGGCCAAGTTGCTCTTGACCTTTTGAGCTTTAACTGATTAACTCATTAACTCTGAGTCTTTTCTGGATTTCTAGTTTTAACTGGTTAACTGAATCCTTTCTAGGGGTCTTTACTGACCTTGTTCTCTTTACACCCTGCTCATACCTATTTTGCTGCCTAACACTGCTTACGGTGAGTACCCTGTGAATAGGCAAAACAGTAACACGATGACATCTTACTACAAACCAGTGTTTCTGTCAGTGATTTAGTGAAAATTGTCTCCCAATACCAGCATGTATTCAAAGTCCCTTGCATAGAAATGAAAGTTGTGGGTTGATGTGGGGAGTGCTCCTAGCTGAGCAATTAGCAGGGGAACAGAACAATATTTTAGAACAGGGGCTACTCCTAAAAAGGTGGAGAGAGGTAAGGTAAGGACACAAAAGGAATTCCTTCTGCTTCACAGCTCTGGGTTTCTTCAAGCAATTAAAGAGTGAAAGGTGTAAAAATGCTACTTGCTACCTATTTTGTGTTTCTCTGAGAGATTAACCTACTTCCTTGGCTCATTTTCTTCTTCCTACATCAGTTGGTATAAAAGCTGTGGTCGTTGGCAGCCTCAGCTGACTCTGTCTGCATCTGTTGTTGTAGTTCTGGGCCTCTCAGGGACACACAGAGTAATTTACCTCTATTTTCTTTGCTTTTTCCCCACAGCAGGTAAAAAGTCTGCCCCGATTTTAGGCACATTCTCCTTTGTCCTGAGAATCTGCTAAGCCAAGGTTGGGGAGTTAATAGTCGGAGCGTGTGCTCCTTCTCCCTTGTTCTGTTTTCTGATGGATCCAAGAGGCCGGTTCCGTGTGTCTGAGAAAAGCGCCATGTAAGTAGCACGCACACACATGAACACACACGCACGCACAGACTCCCCAGAACTCGGACCCAGTCACTTGTTCTCCACTTGAGCTTGCCGTATGCTGCATTTTCCAAGGTTTCATATTGCTCCAGCAACATTTTTTCGGTTGGTTGGATGGCTGAATGAAACACAACCTTCCCTGCAGACATCAAAGCATGTCTCCAGCCTAGCAAAGTCTCCATCCAGCCTTTGGTCTCTCCGGCTACATTCCAATTTAACCAGGGCTGTCTTGCATGATAATCAGGCCTAATTACCGCTTTATGCCTTGATTATTGTGCTGAGTTTTGGAACTGCAGACTTCGCTTCTCAGTTTAGTCCTGTCTCTCCTCACTCTCACTTCTGTTATTCAGCATACCCATCCAAGTTCTCAGATTTAGCCTTTATAATAAGCAAATAGGTGAAAAAAGCAGGACTGTGCCTTTAGGGTATCAGCACTCTGTCCACTTAGTAAACTTGAATTCCTTTCACAACTATGGGAAGACCGTGCAATGTGCAGGGTATTCTGAATACCACAGGAGCTTTAAGAGATTTATTACTAGGTTAGAGAGTAAAACAAAGGCCATGAGACGATATCCTTATTTCCCAGAGGTATTTTCCTACCTTCTCTCTTACCACACACACAGAAACACAACATCTTTTATAATATGTTGAGATCAGTAAGTAAGGGATGTCAGCCAGGACTGTTGGAAATTTTTTCCTGATTCTTTAACTTCGTAAGATGTATTTTGATGCCTTAGTGTCTCTAACTGAAAAAGGATTCACAGACAAAGAGTAGAAAAAAAAAGAGAGAGAAAGAATCCCTTTTACCTCCAGTTTAAACCATCCAGGTAGATCATAATTTATATTTCACTTTAAGGTTTTAAAAAGTGTATTATTGTATTCATTTACCGAGTGCCCTTATGTGCCAGGCACAGTGTTCGATACTGGGGGTTCCAAGACTATATGACACAACTCATGCACTCCAGGAGAACAAGCTGAGCCTTACGGGACTATGAGCAGTTAGATGAACAGAACTGAGAAGACTGGGGAAGTCTAGATGGGAAAGTTTTTCAAAAACATTATTCTAATGAAACAAAATTGGCCTTCAGTTGATAATTGTTGAAGCTGGGTTTTGAAATACAATTGCTCATTATTGCTGTTTGGTCTACTTTTTGTATGTTTGAAGTGTTCTGTTATAAATAGTTCTAAAAAAAATATGTAATCCAGGGATTACCTGTAGAACTATCTGGAGGAAACTGGCTGAAATGAAGATTCTCTGGCCCCACCTAGGTCCTATTTAGTGCATTTCGTGGCATTTAGGAATCTGCATTTAAACAAACTTGGCCTGCAGATGCGAAGACTACTAAAACTTGAGCTCCTTGGTAGGGGAGGCAGTGCCAAGAGTGGAAACATAAGAAAGAAGAAAAACTATTTATCAGAGAAAATCTTCCCTGGAAAATACTTAATGAGATCAGACAATTTCAGAACTAGGAAGAGGGTCTCAGAGATCCCAAGTCTAGGGCCAGAGCATCTCAAATTATATTGCACACAGGAATCACTTGGGGGTTCTGTTCAAACACAGTAGGTTGGGGTGGGGCCTGAAGTAGGGTCTGAAATGCTGCATTTCTAGCTAACTCCCAGGTGAAGCCTTTTTACCCGTCTGGGGTCATGCTTTGATTCACAAAGATTAGTATTTTACAGATATGAAAACTGGAACTCAGAGAGAATAATGCTTGTTCCAAGTTGCAGGCACATCAAGCCTGTTGTTTTGGACTGCTATTGTTCGAGGAGGCTGAGCCCATGTAGGAGCCTGTTACCAGTTGGTATCAGGAGCAGGCTGCACTTACATGAGGATTGCAAACATGGGCCAGTTCTGGAGTGGAGCTACAGTACAGATTTCTCCTCAACACCATAGGGGAGCTCTAAGGAGCTGCCATATGGCTGTTCTGCTACAGTCTGTTATTTCTTATCATTACTGTATCTTCCACGTCTGGCCTCATGAATTTTTCTTGGAATTCCATGAGACTTCTTGGGTAATAATTAGATTTATTGAATGCATGACCCAGCCACTAAGATGTGCCCAGACGTTAGCATATTTTTGGTCCAGTGCTAATGCAATGAGCTAATTAGCTAACTATCCTGAGTTGCAAAGACAATATGGATTAACAATCTACTAAAAGGACTCCCTAATATCAGGACTGGGGAGCATTCTTTTAAACAGGAATCCTATTTCACATAGTGACTAGTAAATTCAATGAACGGATTATCCCAGAGATGGTACAGATTCAAAACAGCTTTCACACCTTCCCTGAAGGATGGGTAGGATAGTTTATCATCCTTAATGAAAGGGGATGCTTGGGAGGTACTTCCTAATCTTTGAGGTTGAGGTCAGAGAAGCTATCCCTGCCCTGTTTCTCTGTAAGTGACGCAACTCAGGATAGAACAGTTGAAGAGCTGACCCAAGGGCATGTTTTGTAACTGCTAATTGCCAGGTAGTGAAGAACTATAAAAGGATATTTCAATTTAAGAAATTTCTTTACAAAAATGTTACCAGAACCCCCTTCCACAGACACAGACACACGCACATTCTCTACCTATCCCCTCAATAAAGCATCTTTTTCCTCTAGCCTTGAAACAATTTCTGCTGGAAGGAAATGTCTCTGAGTTAGAACAGTCTGTGATCTTTCCTAAAGACATGAGCCTGTCTCCTTGAAACATCACAAGTTACATTTATATCTTTTCTCTCTGAACCAGCGCGCATTTTCCTGAAGCCCTCTTATCTAGAAATGCTAAAGAGGGCACAGATGAATGGCAGGCAGAATGTCCTATCCGTTGTAATCCCGATCAGAGTGAAATTTGAAAGCTTTTCTCAGGATCAGAGTCCAGGGAAAAGTTAATTTTTGGTTCTAGGCTTGTGGACTTAGGCTTTGTGCTGGTGGGGAATAAGGACGGGGAATGAGTAAACTCTTTGGAAGTTGGGGGTGGAGAGAGGCTTACGGCCTCTCCTGGAGCCTCCAGCCATTAGTAATCTGCTTTGTGAATGGAGCTAAAGGGGGAGGGGGTGCACATACTTGGAATTCCTTTATCTGGGTGGGCTCCTTCTCTACAGACTTTCAGGATGTGGGAAATGGAAGATGAAAGAAGCGCATTTCCAGCCTATCAGGTTTCAGTGTGTAAAATGGAGCGGGAAGGGGTGGGGGCAGGGAGGAGGAAGCTAACGGGAGAGGGCTGCTAGAGAGGGGCCCGGGAAACCCAGTTTGGGAACTGGCTGGGGAGAGTACGAAAGAGAGTGCCGGGGCGTGCAGATCACGTTTCACATCACATCAGAGCTGTGGAATTTCCTCTGTTCTGGGGGGAGGACTGTGAAGATGAAGTTGTTTTAAGGTTCTTCGTGATGAATAATAGCCCAAAGGCGTCTGATTGAGGGTGTTACTAAGTGACTGGTGTTTACCAGCAGAGTTTTCCTGGTGGGGGAGGGAGGTGGGAGTGGGGGCCATCTTCGACCTGAGTTGTTAACCAATTCTGTGACCCGAGAGTGGAGTCCATGTATGGATTTTATTTGTGCCTAACCCCTGTGGTATGCAGAGCCCTGAACTGCAGGCTGAGAAGGGGAGCAAGAGGAATGGGAAGGTAATTAGAAGAGGCGGGAGCACCTCCCCTGTGGGTGAGGGATCCGAGCCCTGCGGGCACAGTCTGACTTCTGCTTTGTGTCTCGGGTGTCCCCGGGGCGGTCCTGGCAGGATCTGTTTCTGTTCTAGTGAAGCCACGTGCTCCACACCACACTTGTCTCCGGCCCCCTCTCCGAGGCCCTTACTTCCCAAGAGATGCGTGTATTTTAAAAACTACTCAGGCGAGTGTCCTTCCTTGTTGCCTTATGAGAAAGAGAGCACCCACTTCAGGACCTCCACCAGAGTGTGAAATAGAAGTGTAAACCCCTGCGAGCAGGGTGAGTGGTTCCTAAGGCCAGGGACACATCCCTATTTAGGGAAGAACAATAATAGCGGAGGACCATCGGGTCGAGTTCTGGCAGAGACGGGCTTGAAGGACAGGGGCGAGAATGTGGAAGCAGGCAATGAGAAAGCATGTTTAGAAAAAAATGCGGACTGAACCCTGATACCAACCATAATCGGGCAAGGTGTTCTAATACCATGGTGTGGGTAGAAAGTTATTAGATGGCATATATATCACCATGTACTACAGATGACAAAAATACTGCTTGTTTTGGAAAAAACAGAATGCAATAAAACACACATCACAAAGCACACCACGCATCATTTAACTTTTTTCTCTTGTTTCAGAAAGCTGTTTAGGGTTTTGCAGTCTATCAAGGTCATCATTTTCAAACATCTAGTGCCATATTATAATCTTGTGAGAGGTTCAATTAATAAAGATTTCTGGTTGATAGATTGCCAAAACAAACAGACTTTTGCACCATCTTCTTTGAATTACTACTGAGCTATAACAATACACTGAGTCCATTTTTTCATTTTACAAACCATTCACTCACGTTCTCTTCTTTCCTTTCCGAACACCTTCCCACCCCCCCGCAAAAGTTTTGTAAAGAATAAACAAAGTTTCTTCCTCTGCTCTCGGCCACCTTTCCAGTGTAAACTGCAGCCTTGAACCTTGCCAGACTAAACGGAGCTTCTGGAATCCATGACATTGCTTTTTTTTTTTTTTTTGAGAGGGCATCTCTCATATTTATTGATCAAATGGTTGTTAACAACAATAAAATTCTGTATAGGGGAGTCAATGCTCAATGCACAATCATTAATCCACTCCCAGCCTAACATGACGTTCCTTTTTGATACCACAATCATTTTCTAGGTTTGGCTTTTTTTTTTTTTGCAAAGTTTGTAACACTTGGGATAGGCACTATTATTTGAACTGGTCCTTCTGGATTTCTTAGTGGTTTCCTAAGAACAGGTAAAGGTAGTAACTCAAGTGATATTTCCTGTGTGCCCAAGGAAAATAAGCCAACACGGCAT